ACATGTTTGTGTACCGTCAAGGAGCAGACTCGACTATAATACCATTTATCACAATCACACTCTTCTAGCAGTAGGATAGTGATTATGCGACACTTGTTCTAACATGGCGAAAAAGTCAAACATACGAAAGTTGGACTTTGTGGACAACCTTGACGTATGATTGAGTCTCGGTCATGTTTGAAAGAAATGTTTAGAAAATGTAAGTGAAGAAATATGTTTAAACTAATTTGAAAGAAATTAATGTTATAAGTTAAGAGTGAATGAGTAACAACCATAGCTTTGATAACATTTAACCAAGGTACGAATAATTGACAACTAGTCACATCCCCTTATTAACATTTCGGGACATTTTTGACAATAGCGAGTGTAGACATGATTTTGGAACGAACATGCGACCATGAACAACATATCCTGGACAAGCATGACTGGGACATCGGACACACAGCCGCAGGAAACACGCCTTGGACAAGCATAAGTGTGACACATTGTATAACTTAGCATAGCATAACATATCAACCATACATATGGCACGTGTAGGACACATGGAACACGTTTTATACCCAATGAAAGGGATGGTGGTAGGGCTAGTTTGTAACTCTTCTTATGCACAATCTCATTAGTAGCCTAGACTAACTTTGGTCTCATTAGCCCTCATTTACCTACCTCCTCCCAACACAACAGAGACGTACAACATTTTTCTTATGATGCTTCAAATAGTGTCATTCCAATGGTTGCCTGTAAGTCGTTGTTGTAAGCGAACTCCATAAAAAGTAGCTTAGAGTCTCAACTACCTACAAAATTCAGCACATAAGCGCGCAACATATCTTCTAAAATTTTGTTCAAACACTCAGTCTAACCGTCTATCTTGGGTGGAAAGCAGTACTAACGTCGAGGCGAGTGCCCAAAGCTTTCTAGAATCAGCGTCAAAATGTCGATGTAAAGCGTGGATCTAGATCCGACAACATAGACACTAAAACCCCATGTAGTCTAACAATCTCTTTCGTGTATAAATGTGCCAAGTTATCCATCGTATAAGTTGTCTTACTAGGTAGGAAGTGCGACGGCTTAGGTAGCCTGTCGACGATTATCCATATCACTGTATATTCTTCCGATGTTCTGGATAAATCTACGATGAAGTCCATAGCTATATTTTCCCACTTCCATTTCGGCGCACTAAAGGGTTATAAGTCACTTGCGTAAGAACTCTGCTATGTTCCTCTTCATACTACTTCACCAGAGTCGAAATGTATGTTGGACTGTGAGTCGAGCCATCTGTGCTACAACTCCTTCACTCATCACTGCTTGCTCAAAATCTGTTGTCTTCCAGCTTACTATCTGCACTAGTCAACTCCTCACAATAGGTGGGGCGAACGCGCCCGAGAAAGTCATCGAGGACGATGACTAAATCAAGTAGGGGAGAATGTCACAATCCGCAATATGATTGTGACCCGAGTAAGTCATCGAGGACGATGACTAAGTTAAGTGGGGGAGAACGTCACAACCTTACTATGAAGAGAGTAGGTTGTGACCCTCACGCCATGACAAGCAAAGGGGTGTCCCTCAAGAGACGCCCATCCGGCCATACACGGGCCAACGTAGAAGAATGCCATGATGCGATCGAGGAGGACGATGCATCATCCAACACACCACCACGCAAAGTGGGCATTGAAGACATGTTGAGACAAAAGCATAACAGAGACATCAGCATAGACATGAAGGACAAGATAGGCTTGTTGAAGGGCCGGGTAAGTCTGCACCAGTAGCTCTGCTACAACTCCTTCACTCATCGGTATTGGATGTCATCACTGCTAACTCCTTCACTCGTCACTGCTTGCTCAAAATCTGTAGTCTTTCAGCTTCACTAGTAGCTCTCTATATTGTAGTCTAGAGATTTTAAATGCTAACCAATGGGAAGGTTACGCTTTTCTCTGTAAAGCCAACCTCACCCGACTCCCTCCTTGGAATGAAGGGGCTAGAGAACTAACTCAAACAACCCTAACCAACCAATGGGTTGAGCAGCCAACCTCCAACCGCTTTGTTGCCCCCATATGGGTTAGCTCTGTAAAACCAATCTCATGCGATTTCCTCCAACTCTAAGGACAATGGAAACCAGGCCTTCGATCAAAGTCCATGACCCAACTCCCTCCTTGGAATGGACAGGCCAGAGAACAACTCCAACAACCCTAAGCAATGGGTTGAGCCAACAAGTGGGTTACAAGCTCACATTAACAAGCTCGATGATATGCTTATCATAATGGCTACTTTATGAAGACTACATCTAATTTTAACAATGTGGGATTGTTGTAGATGAAAAACCTATGAATCTCACCTCTTCAAACATTTTGAAAAAGAAAAAAAAGTGTATGTCAAGTTGAGGACTACCCAGAGCCTCACGCGGTTTGCGGTTTCCTCCAAACTCCAAGGATAATGGACACTGAGCCTTCGCCCAAGGCCCATGACCCAACTCCCTCCCTGGAATGGACAGGCCAGAGAACAACCCCGACAACCCTAACCAATGGATTGAGCCAACCTCCAATCACTTTGTTGCCCCCATATGGGTTACAAGCTCACATTATAAAGCTCGGCGATATAATTTATGAATGTGGGGTTGTTGTAGTTGAAAAACCTATCAATCTCACCTCTTCATGCATTTTGAACGTCTCATATTTTAATAATTTATATTCTCCTATTCCCGCCATTTCCAACCACCACAAAAACTATCAATCTCACATCTTGGAGGTGCCAGATAACAACTCCAACAACCCTAGCCATTGAGTTGAGCCAACCTCCAACCACTTTGTTGCCCTGATATAGGGTACAAGCTCACATTACCATGCTCGAGAATCCCTTTGTCACAATGACTTCTTTAAGAATACTACATGCTATTTTAAATCTTTCAATGTGGGATTGTTGTAGTTGAAAAACCTGTCAATCTCACCTCTTCAACCATTTTGAAACTTGAAACCGTAAATTATGTGGAAAAATTCTAACTTAAATACAAACAAAATTATATATGTATATATTTTCACAAATATATACCTAGAAATATCCATACAAAATTTGAACAAAAGAAAAATTGGAAGGAGTATTCATAAAATAATAATAATAATAATAATAATAATAATAATAACAACATTGAAAAGGTAAGGAAACGTTCATGGAATGATTTGCATAGGCTTAAATGAGTCGAGGACTACCCATCGAGTATTGTTCGAATACGGAGAATCGGCCCGCTATTCTTCGACCTACATGAACATAAGGTTGATCTGTTCTACATTAATAATATTTGTTTCAAAATATTTTACCTACGTTAATAATTTGTTTAAAAAACTTTCGAATCTATTTGAAAAAATTTCGAACTTTCAAAAGTTTTATAATACCTTTAAGCTCCAACTTCCCTATCTGTCTATCGTTTATGACCACAACTACTCCAAATGGCCTCAAATGGCGAGGATGGGTTCTCACGTTCAACCAGAAAGACGTCATCTATAAGATCTTGTGTTTTATTATCTAGTCGATGAGAGACTTTATTCACTTTTATAACGTAATTAAACAAGCAAAAGTAAATTCTTTCATCAATTCAGAAAGATTTAGGGCCAAAAGAAATAGGGGTTAATAATTTTTCATTTCATTCGTGGCTAAAAATGAATGAGACAACCTTTTCAATTTGAGTCGGGAAAGAACCGTGAAGTCCATCTGAACCGTCCAATGAAAAATAAAAAGAGAACAAAGTGCCAATCGCTCGCTAAGCACATGTAGAACGAACACGGATAAAATTGCTAGGACTATTGGAATTGATGCATTCCGAGTAGATGTTGTGGACAAAGATACTACAACCTTATTATCACTCCCATGTTATTTTCACCGGGTAAGGTATTGTTTTCATGTATATGGATGTTGAATATGTACTAGTTCAATTTTATGTCCGTATAGGTATTAATAAAACTTACAGTGACATTTAAACACTCTTTATCTTTAACTATCTATTTACGAGTTCAAAGATATGTATATGGACTCTTCAATCTCGTCCACTCTCTTTTGGAGAACGGATAAATATGTATGAGCTCCATGCAGAGGTTTTCCACGTTTTTTATTAATGGTGTTTCAATTTATGCTATCTTGTACTCAACTTATGAATTTATTCTAAATTTTTCTTGGAAGTTATAGAGCCTTTGTTGTGAGCCCTTGCTTTTTGATAGTTCCCCTTGCATGCGAAGCAAAACAAGGGGCCTTGACTATGACAAATGGTATCACATCGAGTCAACCACTTCAATCATAGTTAACAATCATGTACCCTACAAAACAACTGGGTAAGTCCTAGGCTAACCGATTACTGGTAAAGATCAAAGATCAGTTGCTCTAGTTGAGTAAAGTTCGTAATGGAATGAGACTTGTGTGGTGGAGGGGAATGAGTCTTCTCAACAGAGAAAACTCCAGGGCGAACACCTCACAAAACAATCACATGGAATTCTACCTCTTTAATGGGTCTAAAAATTTGTAACATTGCTTTCATTCAATTTGTTTTTACCGCACTTCTGTCAAATGTGGCTCGAAGCCCGATCATACAACTCCACCACCCATGAGCTTCGTGCCTTAAGCTACTCTATGGTACATATGTATGTTAGATGTGGGTGAGTGTTCGTGACAACTTCTTTCGAAATGGATTTTCGAGGATAGTGTTAGACAGCATGAGTATACCAACATTATGCCCCAACCCATGAGTCCGAAGTTGGTATATGGACGCACTATCTGATACAGAGTCTATAAACGACATGACATGGACACAAGAGATTTCATATCCTGATAGAATTTGGATGGATAGATGTTTGGGATGTCCTGCTGATATGATCGACACATGGGTTAGTTCTCGATAAACATGTCCGAGCAAGCCATGATGGCTAAGTTGTCTCGAAACATGAGATGACAACGTAGATGCATGGGTCGTGCAGAAAATGTGAATGAGACTTTAGTTTTTATTAAATAATTCAGACAAATTGTGAAGTAGGAAAAAAAAAATAACATCGTCTATTATTCACTTCATTAAAAATACCACATACAAACTTCGATGCTCAAGCAATATGACTCTTAATATTACTAAACATAACTATGGAGTAAATTGGAGTCATGAGAGTTTAATTTAGATGGGACACTGGCAAGAACAGCATTATTTTCAAGAATTGAAAGTGAATTTTGTAACAAAATTCGTACCTTCAACTCTCAGCTACCTGCCCACAGTCCTCAATCACAACTGTTTGCTTAGTACTCCCACTGTCTGAACCCACATTCTCCATCGCCTTTACCACACTATAACCATCCACAACTTTCCCAAACACAACATGCTTCCCATCCAGCCATGGAGTCTTCTCAGTGCAAATGAAGAACTGAGAACCGTTGGTGTTTGGTCCAGCATTCGCCATCGATAGAATTCCCGGTCCGGTGTGTTTCATCTTGAAGTTTTCATCTGCAAATTTCAAGCCATAGATAGACTCTCCTCCTGTTCCATTACCCTTTGTGAAATCTCCTCCTTGGCACATGAAGTTGGGGATTATACGGTGGAATGTTGAGCCTTTGTAGTGCAATAGCTTCCCTGATCTTCCCATCCCCTTCTCTCCGGTGCAGAGGGCTCGGAAATTCTCTGCAGTTTTTGGCGTTGTGTCTGCAAACAGCTCCATAACAATCCGCCCTGCTTTCATCTTCCCAATCAAAATATCGAAGAACACTTTTGGATTGGACATTGTTCTTTGCTGCTCACAAACTTCAAATTGGGCTCTGTTAATGATTAAGACAGGATGATTTTAAGAGTAATGACGAGTTGGCACAGCAGTTAATAAGTTCTTAATCTCAGTACACACAAATAAATCATAACTGAAAACGGTAAGTGTCTCCAAAACACAATAATTATGTAATAGACATGATTTATTTGAATGAGTGTCTCAAACACGCAATTTCAGATTAGATTCTTCAGACCTAAATTTACTTGAAAATCTATCGTTCACATATCATTCACCAGAAAACACCTCGTAATCTTCGATTAAGCATTACAAAATTCCACAAAACATTGACATTAGCCGTTCTCTTGCTAATTTCTCAGGAGACAAGAAAATGAACTAAAATCTAAACCAACATGCAAGTTATGACACTCGAGAAACACTAACAATATGACTCACATTGACAAGGAAGAAAAACTTCAAAACAGAAACAATATCTAGAATCTCCATACATCTCACGCCCTAGTAAACAATAAAAAACCAGAAGGAAAAAAAAAAAAACACCAATCAAAATAAATGAAAGGCGGAAAACAGATCAGAAAATGTTCGTCGTCGCTCCCAAATCCAGTGTAGGTCAGACACGAAATCGGTCTATAAACTCCAAAGGACGTGCAGTGAGAGCATACGACGAGGAAACAATGTCGCACAAATTTTGAGCTCAGCAGGCAGTCATACAATGAACCTGAAAGCCTTCGATATGTGCTTTGGAAGAATGAAGAATCTGGAATTCTAGGGCAGAACTTCAACCGAAAAGTAAACGATGAAGAAGAGAGAATGTACCTTCGAAGCAGTGAAGGATGAGTCTGGATAATCCGATGGAGAAACTAGAGCTCTCTGTTACTTATAAAGAGGAGCAGAGATTAGGGTTTTGGGGTTTTAGAAAAGAAATGAAAATTTGCAATTCCATCCTTGTACTTCTCAATTTGTCATACATTCCCCATAAGTTGCTACTAATTCTTTTTTTGCCCTAAGAAAATGAAAATTGTATATTTGGATTAACGAGTTCGAGTTCGAGTTGAGTTGGGTTGAACAAATCTTTTACCCTAACTCGAAATTTTAGATTGGCGGACTCTCCCGTACCCATGTCATATCATTTACGGATTCCATACCGAATAACAATTGCATAATCTAACCTTCAACACGTGGGCTAGAGTGCAATACTAACACACTCGTACCACCCGATACTATCCTTGAAAAACCCATTTCAAAAGAAGTCGCCCAAAACACTCGTTTTGGAACGTTCACCCTCACTATGACACACGCATTTTCAATGCATTTCGGGTAGACGTCATTTTGGTGAACAATCATACGGTGCAGTGGAGCGTCCGACTAGTGTTTTATTGACACCAAATTTGACAAGCATTCATATTTATATCCTCTCGTCCCAAATTTATAAAGAACATTAAATATAACTCTTTCGCATGTCTCCCCGTAAACCATCTGAATCAAATCATTTGAAATTATTAAAAACAAGTTCTATCGAGACACCATTATTTCTTTATTTTATTTATTTATTTATTTATTTTGGGTTGCAAATCCAAAAATTCTTTTAAGAGATGATATTTTGGATGGAGGAAATAGAGATATTTTGGTGAGGAGGCGCAGATGTGGAAGACAAAGGCCGTAAATGGACCAACTGATTCTCTCCGCCGCCTCTCCGTCAGGCTCCGGCCACTCCCATTTGAATCTCCAACAGACCCACCAAATCCATGCCCATTGCATCAAAACCCAATTCCGTAACCCTCACAGTTTCTTCTCTCGATCCCACTTCACCCCTGAAGCCAATTTCAATCTCCTCATTTCATCTTACACCGACAACCACCTCCCACAAGCGGCCTTCATCTTGTATCACCATATGCGCACAACTGATGCTGCTGCAGTTGACAACTTCATTGTTCCTTCACTTCTCAAAGCCTGTGCTCAAGCTTCCTCTACAAATTTCGGCAGGGAAGTGCACGGTTTCGCGGTTAAGAACGGGTTCGTATCGGACGTTTTTGTGTGCAATGCTTTGATGAACATGTATGAGAAATGTGGGAGTTTGGTTTCTGCTTGCTTGGTGTTTGATAAAATGCCTGACAGAGATGTTGTCTCTTGGAGTACTATGCTTGGGTGCTACGTGCGGAGCAAATCGTTCGGTGAAGCATATAGGCTCGTTCGAGAGATGCATTTTGTGGGAGTGAAGCTTAGTGATGTTGCTTTGATTAGCATGATTGGTGTATTTGGGGAGCTCTCGGATATGAAGTCGGGGAGGGCGATTCATGGTTACGTTGTGAGAAATGTTGGTAATGAGAGAATCGAACTTCCTTTAACAACTGCGTTGATTGATATGTATTGCAAGGGCGACAAATTGGCATCGGCAATGAGGCTTTTCGATGGGTTATCTCAGAGAAACGTCGTTTCTTGGACGGCGTTGATAGCGGGTTGTATTCGCAGTTGCAGGTTCGTTGAAGGGGCAAAGAATTTTAGTAGAATGCTTGAAGAAAACATAGCTCCTAATGAGATCACTTTACTAAGTTTGATAACAGAGTGTGGCTTTGTGGGAGCCTTGGATTTGGGCAAGTGGTTGCATGCCTATCTGTTAAGGAATGGGTTTGGGATGTCTCTGGCTTTGGCCACTGCTCTCATAGACATGTATGGAAAGTGTGGGCAAGTTGCATATGCTAGAGCTCTTTTCAATGGCGTCGAGGAAAAAGATGTCAAGATTTGGAGCGCTTTGATATCGGCTTACGCTCATGCGAGTTGCATCGATCAAGCGTTCAGCCTCTTCCTTAAGATGTTAGACAGTGAGGTGAAACCAAATAAGGTGACAATGGTTAGCCTGCTTTCTTTATGTGCAGAGGTTGGAGCCCTTGACCTTGGTAGATGGACTCATGCTTACATAAACCGTCATGGTGTCGAAGTAGACGTCGTTTTAGAAACAGCGCTCATCAACATGTATGCGAAATGTGGAGATCTAAAAACTGCTCGTTGCCTGTTCGATGAAGCCACACGACGAGATATTCACATGTGGAATGCAATGATGGCTGGATTCTCAATCCATGGTTGTGGAAAAGAAGCTTTAGAACTCTTTTCAGATATGGTGTGTCATGGTGTTGAACCTAATGACATCACATTCATTTCTGTTTTTCATGCTTGTAGTCATTCTGGATTGGTAGGGGAGGGAATGAAGCATTTCGACAGAATGGTTCATGAATTTGGAATAGTTCCAAAGATCGAACACTATGGATGCTTGGTAGATCTTCTTGGTCGAGCTAAACGTCTCGACGCAGCTCACAGCATCATCGAAAACATGCCCATGAGGCCCAACACAATTGTATGGGGTGCGCTGCTAGCTGCATGTAAGCTACATAAGAATCTGGCCTTGGGGGAGGTGGCTGCAAGAAAGATTCTTGAATTGGACCCAGAAAACTGTGGGTATAGAGTTCTTAAGTCAAACATCTATGCATCCGAAAAGAGATGGACCGATGTAACGAGCGTTAGAGAAACAATGAGCCATTTAGGGATGAAGAAAGAACCAGGACTCAGCTGGATTGAGGTAAATGGCTCAGTTCATCACTTCAGATCTGGAGATAAGACATGCACACAAACAAGAAAAGTACATGAAATGGTGACCGAAATGTGCATCAAATTGAGAGAGGCGGGATACGCACCGAACACATCTGCAGTTTTGTTAAACGTAGAAGACGAAGAGAAGGAATCTGCACTCAGTTACCATAGTGAGAAACTGGCCATGGCATTTGGACTCATAAGTACAGCCCCGGGTACGCCCATCCGAATCATTAAGAATCTGAGGATTTGCGATGACTGTCATGCTGCAACAAAACTATTATCGAAAATCTATGGACGAACAATAATAGTCAGAGATCGAAACCGATTTCATCACTTTAGTGAAGGATATTGTTCTTGTCTAGGCTACTGGTAAGATAAGATTCCAAATTGCGGTCATGTACGTATTAATTTCAACAATACAATTAAGGTACATAATTTTTTTGTTATGAGCAAACATCAAAGGAAAAACCTTGATCGATTTGTCAACCAAGCCACTGTTGTGCTTTTCGATCGCCACTAGCTCCAACAGAATGTCGAATGCTGATCTTCTCATTGGCATATTTCTGTTGCAACCATTCAAATCCATTTACATCGAGCTTACCTGAGACTGATTTTCCTTGTTTCCTACGATTTTGTTGTTCCCTCACCGAAGCCCACAATTTCCCGATCGCGTCCCGTTGCTGTGACGTGAACCTCATAACATTATCAAAGGCATGCTTCACTAAGATATCGATGACAGTTTGACACCTACAAGGAGAAAGTGTAAGTTAGTTTCAGAACAACACAAGGAACTGTGTGCTATAACATTGTAGTCAGTGCAGATTTGTACCATGGAATTTTATACCGATGAGCAGCAATTTCTAAACAGCTAATTAAGGCTTCTCTTTGTGCTTTGAGAAAACTCTTAGCCTCCACTTCTTCATCCTTTCTAATCTTGGATTCCACATCATTTTTTCCCTTTGCCCTCTCACCTTTCTTCAATGAACCAGGCAGAAAAGCTTCGAGTCCAAACGGGTCGGATTCTTCCTGGCTTTTCTCTTCGGCTGGAGCAGCATCTTCCTTTTTCTGATGTTCATCATCTGTGTTCTCTTCGTGAACTTTAAGTGCTTCAGCTTCCTCAACGTCGTCCTCCTTAGTAGCAACTGGAAGATTAGAGATGGCTTCTTTTATTTGTGTTGCTGTCTTTGAAAACTACATGGTTCATAAAGTCAAGCATGAAAAAAAGGGAAAATTGATGTTCCAAGAACAAAGAGTAGTACAATGGTCAAAATAACCGGTAAGAATCAAAGTCCCCATTCAAGGAAGGTTCCGTTCCTTCTCTAACCAACGTGGGATCTTACAACCCACCCCTTTGGGATCCAGCGTCCTTGTTAGCACACCGTCTGGTGTCTGGCTCTGATACCATTTGTAACAGCCTAAGCTCACCACCAGCAGATATTGTCCTATTTGGACTTTTCCTTCTAGGCTTCCCCTCAAGATTTTAAAACACGTCTGTTAAGGAGAGGTTTCTACACCCTTATAAGGAATGTTTTGTTTCCCTCTCCAACCGATATGACATCACACATTTTCTTTGTTTTCTAATCTATTTCCAAAACCATTTTTCATATCCACGTTTTAAAATCTTAAAACGAAAGCCATTTCATAAAATCCTTTTGAAAGAAGATGTTATATGAAAACCTTTTAAAATTACACTAAGATTTCCGAAGCATTTCTAGAAGTTATAAACTAAAGAAAGAAAACCCGAGTACATGTACGTTCTATATCCTCATATAGCATCAATCACATCCAAAAGGAGCAGTGGCTTTGCTTAAACAAGTATGGGAAATAATAAAAATGAGTACAATCGTTGAACCCTAGACTCAATTTCGGACATTTACGAAGTGTGGAGCATATTACTAACCCAAGAAGTTTAGAATCTAAAGTACGTTCATAGATTTTTCAAAAACAAAATTTTGAGAAATTTGCAGTACTAACTAAACTCGATAACAGCAAACATAGATTCATTCAGAACGTGCTTAAAAAAAACGCGGATAAAAGAGGAGAGTCGGACCACAAAACTGTCATCTGTCAACAAATCATTTGCCACTACAGCCCGAATCGTCCAGGTTGATAACTGGTTCTTCTGCTTTTTGTTAAGGCACTGAAAATTATAATAAGAAACCATTGTTAGAAAACTAAAATCTCATTTAGAGAAACAGACTCAGAAAATATCATTACATCAACTGTAAAACTTAAAATATGATCATCATACTTCCATTGTAGATTGTGCAGCTGAGAACAATGCATGATAATCTCCTCGTACCGAGGGATCAGTACAAGGAGTGGATGAAGACATGGACATGGCAGCTTCAAGTATGGCAAAGAAATGATCACTCGTAGCTGCCTTCACGCTTCCCGCCTGAATGAGCTGTATGGCAAGTTTTGCAGCCTTACCAAACTTGGTGGGGTTCTTAATATGTGAAGCTATCTTCTGCATAGCCTCCATAACTTGGGTCTCTGAGGCATCTGTGGTGGTTTTGAACCTTAAACGCTTTCCCGGTGCCGGTGCTGTAGCTGAAAACCATACTCCATACTTCAGTTTCTACCAAAGTTCTTACAAAAACATATTGAATTTAAGCTAAATTATAAATTGTGTCTAATGACATGCTACTCTCTTTTGTCAACCTAAATTTCTCAAATAGAATAGTCAAATCGCATAGGGACTGTATAGAATCCAAATTCAAAGTTCAAGAACACAATAAGAACTTTTAAACTTTATGGACTTAATAGACACAACCATCCAAGTTTGGATGCTAAATTTTCATTAAACCTATAATTGAAGCATATGAACACGACGTTAGAGACCAGATGAAAAATCATACAAAAATTCTCACTAAGAAATCCTTACAACTCCCCTTTCATCCTCTAAGTTTCAAATCCTAATCAAATAGCTCCAGCTCCGTATGCCCAATTCCTATTCCTTAATTATTTCTCCTTCAAATAACTAAAACCGAGATCCGAGAATTAAATATCCAAAAAGAGGCATAGAGTTCAATGAAATATAGAGCCAAGAATGAACAAAAATCAAAATCGAAGCGATTTAGAAGGAGAACAGGAGGAGACCTGTGGGATTGGGTTCCAGGGCAGTCTTCGGGCGCTTGAGGGCGCTCTTGATGACCGGCGGAGGACAAGAAGAAGAAGAAGCAGGGGGATTGGGAGACGGATCGGAGGGCCGATTCTGAGTGGTGTTTGCATCTTGTAGTTGGGTCTCCGGCAAAGGGTCTATCGCTGAAATCGGCGGTGGAAGTCCTTCGAAGAGATTATCGGCCATCTTTCCAGGTCCCGCCGATCTCTCGACCGTAGCAGAACTCTTCCACAGACTCCCTGAGCTCGATCTTGACCGAATGCCGAGTGATTTAAGCGATTGTAAGTGAAAGGTGAAAGTGAAGTGAAAAGCTCGTCTCTCAGTTTTGCCCCATTTTGCAAATAAACTTCGAATTAGGGATTTTGTATTAGCAAATAGCAACGATGGATTTTATAAACAAAGAATACTCTCTCTATTGCTACCACGGTCCTTTTGGTGAAGCCCAAATCAAAGTCATGAGAGCCTACACTCAAAGTGGACAATATCATAGGAGAGTCATATTCGTCTCTTATGCTCAAAGTGGACAATATCATACCATTGTGGAGAGTCACGAACAGTAGGACCATTGTGGAGAGTCATGTTCGTCTCTGATGCTCAAAGTGGACAATATCATACCATTGTGGAGAGTCATGAACAGTAGGGAACTTTTACGTGTAATTCCATGGGCACATCTTACCATTATGGAGAGCCACGAACAGTAGAAAACTTTTACGTGTAATTCCATGGGCGCATCTTGGGCATAGTATTGTCTGTACTTGCGAGTTTTCAAGCTATTAGGTTAGGTTAAGAATTCGAGTCGAAGGTGGGTAGAGCGAACAAGCGTCTTGGGTTGGATGTAGGCAGTTGGGTCGGTGATTCGAGTCAACGAACACTAGGGAACTTTTACGTGTAATTCCATGGGCGCATCTTACCATTGTGGAGAGTCACGAACAGTAGGGAACTTTTACGTGTAATTCCATGGACGCATCTTGGGCATAGTATTGTCTGTACTTGCGGGTTTTCAAGCTATTAGGTTAGGTTAAGAATTCAAGTCGAAGGTGGGTAGAGCGAACAAGCGTCTTGGGTTGGATGTAGGCAGTTGGGTCGGTGATTCGAGTCACAGGTCACACACGCCAACCTTTAAGTCCTATGCAATGTATTATTTTCTCTAAATTTTTTGTAGGCAATAAGACATTGCCATGTGTCGTCCTCACAGAGCACGCACCTATGTTCGATTCGTGCCGAGGTCTAGAATTTTCCACATTATTGTCGTCGCCCTATTTTCTTCCGATTTTTGTATATTTTTTCCATGTAACTTGAATCAACATGGTTCGTTTACCAAAGTTGAAGATGTTTCAAAACCTAATTTCAAGAAAATCTTTCAAATCTAGAGGAAAATCGAAACTAAAAACTTAAAACACTTATCTCTCGATCTTCCTCGTTTGTTAATGGTGGACAATTCAAATATCTAGATTGAATGTTGTCAATCTTTTGAGCAACTTTTATGAAGGGGCTACGACAAAAACGACTCCTCTTCATACTACGACCCACTAGTTCATCATATCAAAAAAATAAAAATTTTTAGAGGATATTCTTATAACCCAAAGGAAATCTGACCTTCGACGGAAAAAACTCTAATAGCTTCAAATCGTACCAATATATCTTAAGGGAAAGAAAAAACACCGACATCTCATTGATCATGACTAGCAAAAATGAATCTAAGATTCACTACATGAGATGAAGCAGACTCCACGATAATGCTATGGAGCTATCTATCTATCAGTGATACATATATGTTTTTATCGAATGCACAAGTCATATGGGATTTCATTAATCGCACTTACTCCAAGGCTGCTCAGATCTATGAGATTTAGATCGAGATTGGAGCCGTGAAGCAAAAAGAAAAAACTATTGTTGAATATGTCAATGCCTTGCAAACATTTTAGCAGAAACTCGATTATTATCGTGTATTCGAGATGAATTGCAGATGTGTGATTCGAAAAAATTTGTTGAACTAGATCATGTTTATGATTTTGTGGGTGTTTGTTCTTGCAATGGTTGCCTCAGTGTAGGATCGATTACATTAGTTTGGTTATTTGAGCTAGATGAATATATGATTATTTAAGCTCAACACTACATGGGACATGAAATTTAAAAATTTAATCAATGTAGAGTACATATTTGATATATATGACATACATTATTCTCGGATCATAGGATCATAGAGACAGATGGAGTCAGTCTTATTACCCTCACTAGATGTAACGGCCCAAATCCACCGCTAGCAAATATTGTTCTCTTTGGACTTTCACTACATTTTTTACCGTGCGACGTCGTGATCTTGACATGCTCATGATCAGCCGCAAGGGGAATTAAGCCCTATATATATTTTTTTTTTGCCCCGGCTTTGTGGCTTCGTCGGACTTTAGGCGAGGTTTGTCTTCGTCAATCGAACATTGCTTGTGCGGAATCCAAGCTTGTTCAACCACACACGTTGCCTGCGCATGCATGTTCAATCGTCTTCGTCACATCCGACTTGCCTCTACACTAGGCCAAGTCATTCAGCTCGACCTTGCCTCTACTCGGGGTCAAGGTCTCTCAATGCAACGTCGCATCTCGTCTTGTCATCTCGATCCCATCGATAGGGTCCATATGTCTTTTCGGGCTTCCCCTCAAGGCTTTAAAACACATTTGCTAGCTAGGGAAAGATTTCCACACCCTTATAAACGATGTTTCATTCTTCTCCCCAAACAATATGAGATATCACAATCCACCACCATTCAAGGCCCAGCATTTTTACTGGCATACTGTCTCGTGTCTACCCTCCTTCGAGAAACATCCTCCTCATTGGCACATAGTCCAGTGTCTGGCTCTAATACTATTTAGGCTTTCCCTTTCAAACTTCCCTTCAAAGCTTTAAAACGCATCTATTAGGGAAAGGTTTTCACACCCTTATAAAGGGTGTTCCGTTCTCCTCCCTAGCCAATATAGGATATCACAATCCACCCCCTGCAGGGCCCAAAGTCCTCACTAACACTCGTTCCTTTCTCCAATCGATATAGAACCACCACAAAATCCGCCCCCTTCAAGGCCCAACATCCTTATACTGGCACACCGCCTCATGTCTACCCTCCTCACTAACACATAGTCCAGTGTCTTGCCCTAATACCATTTGCAACAGCCCAAGCTCACCGCTAACAAATATTGTCCTCTTTAGCCTTTCCCTTCCAAGCTTCCCCCTCAAAGCTTTAAAACGCATCTGTTAAGAAAAAGTTTCCACACCCTTATAAAGGGTGTTTCGTTCTCCTCCCCAACCAATATAAGATATCACACCAGATCAATTCCGACCGGCACACGACATCCCAGAAAAAGATTTTCAAAACTAACAAAGAAGAACTAAAACCCTGATCACAGATCAAAATGCAGAAACAGAATGAACGGGTAACATACAGGTAAGAACACAGAAAAATATAGTTATATATGTATATATATGTTTGTATAGAAGTACAATGAACATTAAATAATGAGAAAGAAAAAGAACATATTTCCCCCCTAAGTTAATTATATACCAAAGTTCCCATTAAATGCCTCTGGCTTCTCCTTTGGCCCTCACATATATATATAATAAGCTAGCTCCAAACCAGAGTGACACCTTTTTTTGTTGTTAAAACTACAAGAGAATTGCAGAATTAATTTAACCTTATAAGTTGCACCAATCCCTAATTCAAAGGTTCGAAACCAAACCCCTTCTGCCTCCTTCTTTTTTTTTTCTTTTTTTTTTTTTAATTTTATTTTTTTTCCTTCTTACTCCTCTGCTCTGTACAATATCTTTCCTCAAAATTTCCCTTTATGTTCTCCCAATGATTGCATCACCGAACATGCCACAGCTTGTGCCCAATGTCTCAATTTTGCCTTCACTTGCTTTGGATCTTCCCCTAAATCCATCAAAATTCGACCCGAAATTAGCTTCATTTTGTTACACGAACACGACTCTCCACAATGGTATGAAATTGTCCACTTCGAGCATAAGCTCTCATGGCTTGAATCTCATACAAATGGAAATTCGTGATTCCTAACACATTAACAATAGCTATGTTCACGTACCTGGACTGCAAACCTTCCATGTCTCAGACTCACTTTTGGGGCTCTCGAACGATGAAGACCTTGCGCCGAGAGATGACGACGAGGTGCTGCTATGGGGTGTAGACACTGGGCTCGGAGAAAGCTGTCGGTTAACGGCGAAGTAAAGGTCAAGGGCTGGTAATGTACCACATAGTTTGTGACCATCTTCCTCTTTGAATGCAAACCCTAGCTCAATACAACCTTTGAGCTCATTCCAATCCTCATCAGTCAAGTCATCTCTATCGGTTGACGCGTTCCTTGGGCGGAGCATTTGTCGTCGTCGCTTCTCCCATGCGAGGTCCCTTGGTGTCTCGCACATTGAAAGTTGCTTCGACAAATGCTTCTTGTTCTTTTGGCGCGGCGGTGCCAATGGCATGTGTTTCAGCTCGTCCTCCGACTCGTGGAGTGACGGGCATGATGACGATGATGATAGTGATGATGGCATTCTTTGTAAGAGTTTCTTGTCCATTAGGGTCATGTCAAAAGAAAAACAATTTAAAGAAACAAAAAAGTGAGTGGCAGTAGCGGTGACGACCCGCCCGCCACACACACGCGAGGTTAGAGGGTTGGGGTCGGGGTCGGGGTCGGGGACAGGGAGGAGGCCGAGATGGGAATCGGTATAAGAAGAAGGCCAGAGCCAGCCCGACCGAGTGAGGGCAGAGAAGAAGGAGAGGGCTTTAATGGGGAGAAGGAAAACAATGATATGGCCATCATTCACAAGGTGGTTAATTCAGTTATTGTCTTTCCAACCATTCCTTTTCAACCAACCCTTAATATAGTTACTTCTTGTCTAGTTTCCTATACTTAGAATTTTTTGGATTTAGGGATTTTTGGGTAAAATATTAGATTATTCTTGTTTCCCTAGGTATTCTTATATGACGTCACCGACACCGGTTGGACTGATTCGGTCCTAGTCGGCTTGGTTAAACCATATTTTTTTACTCATTTACACCGTTTAAAGCCTACTTTTCGATCCATTTTTTATCGGTTTCACTCTTTTTAATCGAGGAGTTTCATGAAATTTGAGCCAGAGGAAGGAGATAAACTGAGCCGAGGAACTTTCTCAAACAATGATTGCAGTCTTCCTTTAAAATAGTTAGCCTGATTATGCATAATTAACGATCGTCGTGTTATCATCGAACCAAGATGCTAGGATTGATCTATTTGACATGTGATTGTATGCTTATGAGCTCGAAAATAATCTTATAGAATTATCTTAGGTAGAATTTGCTAATGATGAGTGTTGAAAATCGGGTAACTTAGGATTACTGTTGTGTTCTTCGTATTTGTATTTCATCGTTAGATGCACTGAATTATATATGAATAATGATTCATAAGTCGTTCCTTTGAGTTTTGGATTACGCATGAGGAATTAAAACCCAATAGATGAGATTTACGCTTTAGGTATGTTATGACTTAATTTTTAAGGCTTCGAATTTCGGACGATGAAGACAAAATAAACAAAAATAAATGTGAATTAAAAATAAAAGATGAAAATTCGATAAAATTTAAATCGAATTAAAGACAACCACACTAAAATTAAATATAAAATAAAATTCAATTATAAAATGTGCTATTTAAATTTATTACAAACGGGGAAAATGAGTCTGGGACTCTCCAACGCTCTACCTCAACTGGTAGCCTGTGAACCCCTGAGAAAGAAAAGAGAAAGGAGTGAGTATAAAAATAGTAAGTAACTAACCTACTTGTAGACTCTTATTGCATCCTTATCCTAGTAAGTATCTATGGGCTTTACTCTGTACTCGAGAAAGTTTGGACCTCGTCTCTACTGCTATTTGAGAATCATGGGTGCCTCAAAGTTTCAAACGGTATTTTAACTGCTCAAGAACCCACTCTGGGTTCGAATGAGGTAGTTCACCTTTTTCTAGCATTGGAGATCAACCGAGCGACAAGTCTCATCTTTAAGGTGAGCTACTATTTTGTTCTTTGACATTGGATAGCTTTCTTTGATGTCATAGATGTCTACTAGATTCTTAAGGAGATCTAGGCAGTTTAAAATTTGTATCTTGTTTCCAGGATGTCTAGGACCAACTCCTCAAGCTAATCCAGCTTTTGGGTGCACACAGGTCATACCTCTGTTCGTTCTTACTCATCCTTATTGTCTAATTCGTATTCTAGTCGTGCATATTCACTCTCTAGCTTTGCATAAAATATAAAACAACACACTTCTTAAAAAAAAATATAATCCTAGGAGTATAACGGTAATTTTTCATAACATACATACAATACATACTCATCCAAAAACGCCCCTCCAAAGTCTTTAACATGCATTTTTTTAACAACCTAAGCTAAGGAATGCTTGCATGCTAGCACCTCGTAATGATCTCTAAAGTATTACTTGCCTAAAGTCCGTGTGTTTACTTACCTCGATAATGTGTGCCTTCTTGAACTCAGTTTTTTGCGTGTTAAGAAGCTCAAAAAAAAAAAAAAAATTAAAATTTATTTGGTATGTCCTAGTTTAAGTCAAATAAAAGTTAGTATCGCAAAAATAGTCAAACAAGGTCTGAACGGGGTAAAAAGGGAGACTCACATGCCTACACGTGCCTTCACGCGGAGAAGAATGCTCCCCATGCACGCGTACAAACACACCTAAGGGGAGTATAGACACTCCCTCGAAGTGACATATGGCACATGCTAATTGGCTCTTCCGTTCGAGGTAATAACACCGATCCTTTTCACTGTTGTGGGACCACTCTTGCACGTGAAGGATTCAAACCTCTTGTACCCTTGTCTCGGTGCTTGTTTCAGTCCATACAAGCTCTTATTGAGCTTACACACCATGTGTTCTTTGCTTGGAGCTGCAAACCTTCTAGTTGTTGCACGTAGAACTCCTCATCTAGATATCCATGTAAGAATGCTGTTTTTATATCCATTTGCTCAAGGTACAAATTCTCTGATGCAACAATACTCGGCAAAACTCGGATAGTAGTTAATTTCACAACAGAAGAAAAGATTTCAACATAATCAATGTCTTTCCTTTGTGAATATCCTTTAACTACTAACCGAGCCTTGAACCTCCTTTTGCCATCTGGTTCAACCTTGATTTTGAACATCTATTTGTTCAACAAAGCTCTCTTTCATGTAGGTAACTCAGTCAACACCCACGTATTGTTCTTTTCAAGTGAGTTTATCTCATCATCCATGACTTGCTCCCACTTGGTTAAATCTTCCACTTGTAGGGCCTAGTTAAAAAACCTTGGTTCTACTTCGTTAGTCAGCAACAGATAAGGTAATGAAAGTGGATATCTATTTGGTGTTCTGATAGTTTTAGATGATCTCCTCAACACCTACTCAGGTGTAACTTGAGCCACGTCTAGTCTTTAGCAACAACCTCAGAAGTTTCTTGAGCTTCTGGTGTAACATCACTTGGTGAGTTTTCCTACAACTCAAGCTCAACTCTCACTTGCTTTGTAGTTTCAGAGTTTATCTTCTCTTTGTCCTTGTACATGACATTTTCATCAAATGTCACGTCACTATGTCTTAGGATTTTCCTATTCTTATCATCCCAAAACTTGTACTTGAACATATAATCGCCATAGCCTATGAAGTAGCACTTCACAACATTAGCACCAAGCTTGTCTTTCTTCTCTGGATCAACATGAACATACGTTGTACAATAAGTTCTCAAGTGAGAGTACTTGAGTTCTTTTTCTGTTCATACTTCTTTTGGTAATTTGAACTCCAAGGGTACTGACGATCCTCTATTGATCAAATAGGTTGTATGTTTACAACATCAGCCCAGAATGTCTTTGGTAGTCCAGAATGAATCCTCATGCTTCTTGCCCGCTCATTCAATGTTATGTTCATTCGTTCTCCAATGTCATTTTGTCTTGTCTTATTGAGAACTATCCTCATTAATCTAATTCCCTCAGCTGCACAAAATGTTTTAAACTCTGACTTGTCGTACTCCCCTTCATTGTCAGACCATAGGCATTTGATCTTCAAGCCGGTCTGATTTTCAATTTCAGCTTTCCACTTCTTGAAGGTGGCAAACACATCTGACTTGTGTCTCAAGAAATAAACTCATACCTTCCTGTTGAAATTATCAATGAATGTGACATAGAACTTTGATTCACCAAGTGATGAAACTCGAAATGGTCCCCAACCGTTTATATGGATCATTTCCAATCGCACTTTCTTTGGTTCTCTGATAGCCTTTGTAAAACTAACTTGTTTATGTTTGCCCCGTAGCACAGCTCTCACAAAGACTCATATCAATAGTTTTTACAGCCAGCATGTTCATTCCTTTGACGTTCATATGTTCAAGTCTATTGTGTTGTAGACTTGAATTGGAACCACTCTCGGCAATAAGTCGTGTTTATACACCCTGCAGTGGTGTATAGGGTTCCAAATTTTGTTCCACATGCTACCACCATGACATACTTCACAATCTTCCACGAACTTTTTCCAAACTGTGATGCATAACCTATGTTATCCAACTGATCAATAGAGATCAGTTTCTTCTTAAGACCAGAAATATATCTGACTTCATTTGATGTCCACTGATTTTCTGTTGGAGTTTGTATGCAGACATCTCCCTTCGCTTTAATCTCTAAGGTTTTGTTGTCGGCAAGATACACTTTTCCAAAATTTTCTGATTTGAAATTTTGAAACAATTTCCTACTTGGAGACGAATGAAATGATGCACCTGAATCCAAAATCTAAGATTCAATCGGGCTGTTCACACTAAGGATTAGAGCATTCTCAGTACGTTGGGCTGAATATATATAATCATTCTCATCATCAGATTTATGATTATGTTTCTTCTTCAATTTTGTAAAATCTGTCTGAAAGTGCCTTTTTTCTTCACAATTCTAACACTTTACGTTTGGTTTGTTTGAAGATTTTCCCCTGTTCTTTGATTTTGATCGTCCATGTTTGTTTGGGCTCTTTGATTTACTTTTTCCCCTTCGATCAACACTGAGAGCATTGTCTAATAAATGTCCAATTTCCCGTTTGCGAATACTTTCATTGAGAACTACATCTCAAATTTCATCAAACTTATTAGATCCTCATGAACTGCTGATAGCGACAACTACAGTATCCCAAGACTCGGGTAAAGGTAACATTAAAATCAATGATTTAATTTCATCTTCGAAAATAATTTCTACCGAGCTCAATTGACTTACAATTATGTTGAACAAATTTATACGATCTTCAACAAATCCAACTTCAGACATTTGAAGATTGAACAGTCTCCGCATCAAATATACCTTTTTCATAGTCAACGATTTTTTGTACATATTCAATAGCGTCTTCAATAGGTTCGACATCATCTTCTCCTTGATGATGTTGAACGCCACATTTTTTAACAGCGTCCACCAAATCAACCATAAGTCTTGATGATCCTTGAGCTTCCACTACTCCGTGGTCATGGTATCCAACTTCACCTCCAACAGGGGTTTGTGAAGATCTTTCTAGTACAGATAATCTTCAATCTACGTCTTCCAGAAACTGAAATTCGATTCATCAAACTTCTCAATTTCAATCTTTGAACTTTCCATCTTCACAGATCGTGGTGAATC